TACGGACGCTCAGCGTTCGCGCGCGGTTGAAATAGGAACCGCATACGGACCGCACGCGACCCGTTTTCAGAAAACCACAGCACATTATTCCGTATTCCTCCGTATTCTGTCCGTTCGCGAACTCCGTATCCGATCCTATTGCGAATGATGGACAAACGGATCCGTTCACGAATCAGACAAAAGTTTAAGTTTAATCGCAATCGGATCGGATACGGAGTTCGCAAACGGATAGAATATGTAGAAATAGGAAATAATGTGATGTGGTTTTCTGAAAACGGGTCGCGTGCGGTCCGTATGCGGCTCCTATTTCAACCGCGCGCGAACGCTGAGCGTCCGTAACGGATCCGTTCGCATTTTACCTGTGAAAGCACATATAACGGTATTTTTTTCAGTTCACTGTGGATATGGTCGACACTCTGTTCAAGTACAGCAAGTTCATGTATGAGTGTGGTAACTACACCGTCGCTTCGGTATGCCTCTACTACTACCGCAACCTCGTCAATCAAGCTGACCCAAACTACTTGAATGCTCTCTACGGAAAGTTGGCGAGTGAAATCTTGCTCCAAGAGTGGGAACACGCTCGTGACGATCTTCTCAAGCTTCGTGCCTATATCGATGCCAATCCTTTCGATACTGAATGGGAACTTGTTACCCAGCGCGCTTGGCTCATGCACTGGGCTCTTTTCGTGTATTACAACTACCCAAAAGGACGTGATGAGATTATCGAGATGTTCCTCAATCAGCAACCATATCTCAATGCTATTCAGGTTCTTGCTCCTCATTTGCTCCGTTACCTCGCTGTGGCAGTGGTAACAAGCAAAAGCCGTCAGAAGAACAGCCTTAAAGACTTAGTGAAAGTCATCGACATCGTGAGTTTTCTTCTTGTCTGTACTTGATAATGCCAGTGATGCTATAGGAAAGACACAGCTACAAAGATCCAGTCACCGATTTTCTTACATGTCTTTATATCAAATATGATTTCGACGAGGCTCAAGAAATGCTGCAGAAGTGCGAAGAAGTTCTCTCCAACGACTTCTTCCTGACCGCTGTCCTCGGAGATTTCCGCGAGTCCGCTCGTCTTCTTATCTTCGAAATGTTTTGCCGCATTCACCAATGTATTACAATCGAAATGCTCGCTCGTCGTTTGAACATGAGTCAAGAAGAAGCCGAACGCTGGATTGTAGATCTCATCCGTACCTATCGTATCGAAGGAGCGAAGATTGATAGCAAACTAGGACAAGTCGTCATGGGAGTGAAATCGGTCAGTATTCACGAACAAGTGATGGAGAACACAAAGAGACTGACTCTTCGCGCTCAACAGATTGCTCTCCAGTTGGAGAAAGGCCGACAGGATAAAGTGAAGGCAAATTAGTTAATTTCTTGATATCCACTTTGAATGTCATATCTACACTTTCCTTTTCATGTTTATCTGAAAACTGAGTGGAAAACCACATAGATTTTTGAACATCTCTAGAAATTCGGAGCATTTAAATATTTGGGAAACGATAACCGAGTTATAGGGACCTTGATTTGGTGTGTCTTCTTGTATTTGAAACTAGAGTATGACACAATACTTTTTGCTTCTCTCCTTCTGCCGTTGGTTCTCGTTTCTCAAATAATTTATTGTCCATTTTAAAAGGTGTAATTATTTTTCCATTCAGTTATCAGTTGTTTTTTTTCTTTTTTCTACCCCTTGCTTCTGATGAGGCTTACTCGGATAATATATTCTATTGTAACTGTCCTAATATCCCTGTTTTTCTTTATTGTTTTCTCTGGCCCTCATTCGACTGAAGATGGGCATTCGTCGGTTGTTTGGTTTTTTAATTAATTTTTTTAACATCGGAACATTTTTTTCGAACATCCAAAGGTTCCCTTCCATTTTACTTGATGACGGTTTACAGGAACCCAGGCCTCAGTATTATTTTCAGAATGTCCATGCTACGTCGACCTTTAACGCAGCTGGAGTTGTGTGAGGATGATATTCAATGGTTGTCGGAACAACTCGCAAAAAAAGAGACTGGCTTCGAGGATGAAGTTAAATACGAGGTGATGGATGTCGACGAAGACGAACCTATGGATCAGAGCGAGCCGACAGGTGGAATTTCTAAAAGAAACCTGAGATCCGCAGATCGAAGCAAGTGCACTTTGAATTTTCTGTTTACTTTTCAAAATTTCAGGAAAAAAAGATGTTCCAGGCACAAGTGGAGAGGGCGCACAGTTTACTGATCAGGGTCTTGTACGTTAATAGACGAAATTTTTAGCTTACGTATTGTTCAATTCAGTTTGAATTTTCAGTCGATATCTTCTGCTCGCACTCCTGTTTCGGGAGCTTCTGTGAATCTCTCTACTCCTGTCAACCCTAGTTCATCGAATGAAATGATGGCTCTTCCTCCACCCGTCAGACTTGCTCGGGCAGGACGTCGTCAACGTGACTCGAGAGTTGTGAATGGAGATGTTCCTCTGATGTTCAATGCATATGACACCCCGCAACAACCAGCAGGAGGTAGTAACGGATCACCTACACCATCTGATTCTCCGGAATCTCCGAATGCTCATCTCTACTGTAAGTTTAGATCCCAGAATCATATTCACTTTTAATTTCAGCTACTCCGATCAATCCCACATCTAGCTCTGGAGGGCCTTCATCAAATACTCGATCTCAAAGACATTAAATGTACAATCTTCAATTTCTTTTTAGATATTTATATATTTGAACACTTTAAACAATGAAACTGTAAATTTAACTCTAATTCGATTTCACATTCTACCAGACTGTTGTTTTTCGGTATCATGTTTCTTTCAATCTCATAATGGTAGAATGCATCATTTCGTTCTAGATCTAGATCGCAATGCACGGGTTGAAAAGAACCTTGCTGATCAGAACAGTCTGTCGCGGAAAAGCATCAACTGCTGCTGACATTCCAAAAGAAGAAGTTGTACAAACGAGCAAAAGCGAAGAAGTAGCTCCGAAGGCAGCAAACGCTTCCACGGTATATCGTCCACCGTACTACCGCAAACCCCACAAGTATCACGAGTCAAGTCATATTCTTCAAGAAGAATTCGCGAATGCAGGAGATGCTTCTGGAGCTGGTGTCCGTTTATTCGACTACTACAAAACCGCAGAAATGGTAAACGCAATGCCAACTATAAAAGAAAAGATTGACTTAGTTTCTCCTTATGAGAGACCATGGACCCGAGCAGAGAGAACATGGCGAAGAGATTGGCACCCGACTTTAATGGCAACACGCAAGGCTTGGGGAATTCCACCAACACCCGCACATTTCGATACGTTGGACTATTATAAGTATATCACAAAGACTAGGGTTGAAAATAAGTCATTAGATGATTTCTACCATGGACTGAGACCACCAACAGCTGAATTGCAGCAGAGTTTCCAGGTACAAAACTTATTTACTCCAGTATTAAATTACAATTTTTTAGAATACACTAAAATCAATGGAATTCGGCGACGGAATTACCTTTTCAGAAGAAGATACACAGAAACTATTTGGTTGTCTGATTGATGACGCTATGGGAGCAATTGCTCACAACGTTTCTCGTCTAGCGGATCACCGTGTTGCATATGATGTTGAGTCTGAAGCCTTCTGGGTGCGAAGTGGTTTCATGTTCCTCTATGATGAACCGGTTATCGGATCAAACAAAGACCACAAAAGAAGACTAAACAATTTTCCGAAGTTTATTGGAGACGATCGCAGAAAACTTGGAGAACTTGCGTTTGTTCATCGAGATAAATTGGCAGCTCAAATCAGATCCAGAGAACCACCAGCGCTACTTCATTCTCTAGACTCCGATGATGCTAAGCTTCCAGTTTTCGAGAAGGACTTCAATATCGAGGAGACACTCTACTCTCCAAAAGTTTTCAATTTGTGGCCGGACCAGCAGCCACTGTGGCAGTGCCCAGGATATCATGCTGATTCAGGAGAAACTCACAGTTATGGCTTACTCAGTGTGAAATCGTTGAGACCTCTGAGGGAAAGAGTTGCACATTGGATGGGATGGGAAAGTCAGGCAGAATTAGAAGAGAGTCCAGAAGCAAGTGAGTCGTTAGAACGTCATTAAATTAATTAATTACGGAGATTCTAAATCGGCAATGAACGAACCGTTCATTAACATTGCTGGTTTCAAATCTTCAGTACGGTATCAACTTTTGATAAAACTTCGAAAAACATGTTTGCCATTTAACTAGAGTTTGAAAAGTATTTTTCAAATTTTCAGAACAAATGATCGATGATGGAGCCAGATCCCAAGCCGTCATCAGTATGTTCACTACACTCTGTGCTCAAGCTCACACTCACGGATTCACCCAATACACCGATGTGACTCGTCCGTTCACATCTCAAATGATTCTCTCTGATGGTTTAAATTTCTACTTCGCCGTTGGACAGCTCAACACTCTAGCCATCAATGTGGACTGCGAAGGGTTCGTCAATCCGCGCACCAATTTCATTCAAATCGATGGACCACATCGTCTGTTCGAAATTGTAGATGAAGATGGAAATTATACGAGTTCGCAAGAATATGTTGATGCGAAAAACAATGTTAACGTTAGTTGTACCGATTCGAGACCTGATTATTCACTGATTTTTTTTTCAGAGGCGTGTTGATTCTGGATTAAACGAGAAAGTTTTGGAACGTGTGACACAGATGCTGATGAAGCAGTAGACGATAATTTATTTCTTAGCTTGTAATCTTTAATTTAGAATTAGGTTTGACTGTTTTCTTCTCGTTTTGTTACTGAAAATTGTTTAATAAAGTTTCGTTTCCTGAAATCTCGCCAAAAATTTCATGTCACACCATTATTATTCAAACTAGGAGCCTTCCACATAACTATGTATATAACCAAAGTGTTGTAGTTTATGTCCTTCAATACTAATTACTATTCCAGGCGTTCAAAATCCTTTATGCAATGTTATAAGCTCATCGGTCCCCCTCTACTACTCGTTATCGGATTAGTGGTTTATAATGAGTATTATATATTTTACAGTGCCATATCTCATTGTAATTGGCCATGTGAACACGGAAGGTCCGCTGACTGAAACAATTAAAAACAATTAAAAATTCGATTTCCAGATGCTCTGAAACTAGTCTAAAAGCTTTCATGATCTCCGACACACATTTACTAGGGAAAAGAAATGGTCACTGGTTAGATAAGTTGAAAAGAGAGTGGCAAATGTATCAATCGTATCAAATTGCTAAATGGATTCTAAATCCGGAGGTTGTATTCTTCTTAGGAGATTTGATGGATGAAGGAAAGTGGGCTGAAAAATCATTGTTCAGTTCGTATGCTAACAGATTCCGGCAGCTATTTGGAGATGATAAGATGGTTATCACATTGGCAGGAAACCATGATATCGGTTTTCACTATGCGTAAAATTTCTTTTATAATATGTACCATGCTCAATTGAATTTCAGTGTGATGCCTGACACTCTGGACATGTTTCGAAAAGAATTTCAGCGCGGGCTTATCGACGATATTCAAATAAAAAACTATCGTTTTGTTCTGATAAACTCAATGGCAATGCACGGAGATGGATGTAGATTATGTCATGAGGCTGAAGTAGAACTTGATCGAATCAAAAATCGATCATCCAAAACTCGGCCAATAGTACTGCAACATTTCCCCCTTTACAGGTAAATATCAGAATACAATTTCTAATGATTGCAATGATAGACTTTCAGAAAATCTGATGCTGTCTGTGAAAAAATGGATGAGCAGCATGTAGTTGATCTGAAAGAGAAATATCGAGAACAATGGGATACACTTTCTAAGGATTCCACCAGGAAGTTGATTAGTACACTAAATCCAATAGCGGTTTTTGATGGGCACACTCATAAAATGTGCAAGAAGAAATGGAAGTCGTCTCAAGCGCCTGGGTACTTCTACGAGTATACTGTAAATTCATTTTCCTGGAGAAACGGGGACGTTCCATCAGTTCTGTTAGCTGTGATGGATGGCGAGGATGTGAGTTTCAACTCTTTCTAGAAATCTTAACTACGAATTTTAGGCGTTTGTGAACAGTTGTCGTCTGCCATCCGAAGCTCAGCAAATTAAGGTATACGTCGTTGGCGGATTATCTATTCTTATCCTCGCTATCACTCTTATAATTAGACGACGATCAATTTTCAAACGTCGATGTTCCTATTCTCTCTTAATGTACAGATCTCCTGAAAAATGTGAATAAATAAATGTTTGGATACTAACATCCCACTCAGTATCGATAATAGAAAGCAAATGCAGTTTTAGAATTTTTTTTTTTAATTGACATCATTAAAGATTGGGGTGTTGCCCACGGAAATTTGAAAATAGAAGATAACTAGTTGGACCTACAATGGCGATAATACAGAAAAACAAAGAAGCAATTTGCAAGGAGGGAGTCGCAAAGGGCGAAAATTAGATTTTCAAAAATTTTATAGAGGAGTATTTATTGTCGAATTAAAAAAGTGACACCTGAGAATTTGAAAACGTTTGCTTTTTTTGATATACGAAAAAGTACGGCAAAAACGTAATATCTCAGAATTTCGGCTCGTTTGAGCTACTTTCGCGTTTAAGTTTAGTTTTTTACTGAAAAACAGATTCTAGAGATGCTAGCGATCACTTTCACACCAAGAAATCAAAATTTCGTTCAGAAAATCCCACTAAATTCACATAAATAAATTTGTTATCTACAGTATCCGTTTTCGCTCCGCTCCCTCGTAAATCGACACGAGCGCCGTCTCCGAGATTTTCAGGTGTCACTTTTTTTAATTTTTTAAAAAATATTTTATAAAATACAAAAAAAAACTTCATCTTGTAAGTTGAATATCAATTCAAACTTTGCTAAACTGTGAACCGACGGATTAGCATCATATTTGTCTGCTGTTGTGGTTTCTCAAACACACATTTTTCGAGTTTATAAAAAGATTTTTTGAAGAGTTTCATTATGCAGCTCTGTTAGAATGGCTGAGAAGAATGTAGGACGATATAGAGGGAAAATAGTATGAGTTTATAACAATTTTGTGATAGGTACGAAGAACTAGAAGGGTGCGGCGATGAAGGGTGGTTAGCATAGAGAACTGGGATAGGCGATCGGTGTATGAATTGAAGGGCATATTACATCTCTGGAAGACTTTTCTGGTGAAATAACGAAGAGGAGATTCTAGTTTATTGGCAAGTGTGGCATTGGATGGATCGAAAGTTCACAACCGTATTCGAGGACCGGTCTAATGTAGGTGTCGAAGAGACGGAAATATAAACAAGGGTTTTTCGATTGGAACGTTTTCAGTATTTGGCGGGACTTGAGTTTAGCAGAGTAGGCAATAAGATTGATGTGTTTGTCGAATTGAAGTTGATCATCAACTAGTATACCTAGGTCCTTGAATGAGCGATGCGGAGTAATGGGGGATCCCTTAATAAGGTAAACTGTCTTAGGATTGCGTTTACCATAATGCATAACGGCCGTCTTATTTTCGGCTAGTTTGAGTCTCCAGATGTCACACCAGTGCTCGACGATTTCGATACTTCTCTGCATAACCAATGGGTCGGAACCGGTTATTTTTAGGTCGTCGGCGAACGCCGTGACATGAACATTGGGAGGGAAGAGGCCGAGTAAGTCGTTAATGTAGATCAGAAACAAAAAGGGGCCAGTGACACTTCCTTGGGGGACTCCGGATTTGACAACAATCTCGCTGGTTGACATTAGGCCATTAACCTTGACGTTGGATGAGCGATTGCTGAGAAAGGACTCGAACCAATCGCAGCATCGTTCATCAATACCTATTCGCCTCATTTTCAGTAGCAAGAGATTGTGTGGGACAGTGTCGAATGCCTTGCGAAAATCAAAGTGAATAAC